GAGCGTCGTGGTGGCGCTCTGGGTCTCGGCGGCGGGAGGTGTCCGGAACCGCGGGAGCAAGCATGCCTCGGTATGCGCAGTTGGTCATGGGCCCCGCAGGCAGCGGGAAGGTGAGGCTTTGGCGGGAGAAGGAGAGAAATGTCGAAGTTTGTGGGAGGCTGGGAGGTTCAGGTCCTGAGGGAGGAGCTGGCGGTTGTGTGTATTGGGGACCTTGAGACCCTGGGCAGCTCGCTTCTGCAGCCTGGGCTTCAGTGTTCCTTTTGTTGTTGTTTTGAAAGGAGATTGATGATAGTTGCTAATATTTATTGCGTACTTAAGCCCCAGATACTGCCCCAGGTATTGCGTCCTTAAGCCCCAGATCCTTTCCTGTTAAGGAAAAAAAACTTACTTCCTTAACAATCCTGTGAGTTAAGTCCTGTTACTCCCATTTTGCCGGTAAGGAAAATGAGACACAGAAAGGTTAAGTTTTTGCTCAGGGTCACACAGCTAGTAAATGATGGCTGGAATTTGAATCCAGTTTTGTCTAACTCCAGAATTTGTCCTCAGTCTTTAACCCAGGAGGTTAAAGTGGGGTCTCGTTAATCACTGCTTCTCAGAGATTGAGCCGTGGCTTTCTGGAATTTGAGGAGACTTTAGGAGGTACATGGGCCTGACATTAATGAACATTGAATCGTGTATTGAGAAAGTTGCTCCCTTTTCAGTTTTCTTTCAGTTTGCATTGAGGTGAAATCATCAGTTTGGTGCTAGCGTATCTTCAACACTTCTTTAATTCTCAAGTCTTTTTGGAGAGCAGATTTTAGACTCAGAGGTTTTGACAGGCAATTATATTAAGCTAGAACTGAAAGAATTTTGTTAAAGTTGCATATAATTTTATGGTTACCTTCACGTTATGGAAAGTATAACTGGTTTTCTGTTTAGAGATACAGTTTTTTCTTGTAAACAACTATTAAGGGAATCCTATTAGGGGCACTCAAATATGGTAGAAATTGTGACGATATTGATCAAATAACAGGAGTGTGGGAAACACTGGAGTCTGTGGAGGTGTTGTGTGGCTTCAGTTTTGTTTTTTTTTTAATAAATTTATTTTATTTATTTATCTTTGGCTGTGTTGGGTCTTCGCTGCTGTGCGCAGGCTTTCTCTAGTTGTGGCAAGCAGGGGCTACTCTTTGTTGCGGTGCGCGGGCTTCTCATTGCGGTGGCTTCTCTTGTTGCGGAGCACGGGCTCTAGGCACACGGGCTTCAGTAGTTGTGGCACGTGGACTCAGTAGTTGTGGCTCGTGGGCTCAATAGTTGTGGCTCGCGGGCTCTAGAGCGCAGGCTTAGTAGTTGTGGCACACGGGCTTAGTTGCTCTGCGGCATGTGGGATCTTCCCGGACCAGGGCTCGAACCTGTGTCCCCTGCATTGGCAGGTGGATTCTTAACCACTGCACCACCGGGGAAGCCCTGGCTTCAGTTTTTAAATTGACAAACACGTTGCTCTGATGCTTGGCCTATTCTGGGTGCAGGAGATACACATGCGACTATGATATGGCCCTTGCTTACCCGAAGCCAGTAGTCTATTTGGGAATACTTACAGGTGACTAGTTACTTAAAATACAGTGTGATGTATAGAGAGGACCTCCTAGGCAGAGAGAACAGTGTGTGTAAAGTCACTGAGGAGAAAGATAAAAGCATGATAGAGGTTATTTCTATATTCTAGATTAATTTTCAGACTGATTGTGTTAGATAAGTATCTTTCTATAAACTTTTGATGCCTGCTACCAGAAATACTCAGTGGGCATGTTCTTTGTGCCAAGCATTGTTCTGGGCGTGGGGATTGTGTAGTGACTAAAACACACACACAAAATCCTGTGCACTTGTGGAGTTTATTCAAACATATGAGTCAATTAGAAATAATTATCAAGCATTTATTATGTAGCAGGTATTGTTATAGTCCCTGGGTGTGTACAACTGAATAAGACACATCCTTGCCTTTATTTATTTACTTACTTACTTAATGGCCTTGCTGTGTGATTTGCTGGATCTTAGGTCCCTGACCAGGGATCAAACCTGGGCCTTGGCAGTGAAGGTGCCAAATCCTAACCACTGGACCGCCAGGGAATTCCCAACACATTCCTGCCTTTATTTTTTTATTTTTTATTTTTTAAAAAAGTATTTATTTGTTTATTTGGCTACGCTGGGTCTTAGTTGCAGCACGTGGGATCTTTGTTGAGGCCAGTGGGATCTTTAGTTGCAGCATGCAGGCTCTTAGTTGCTACATGTGGGATCTAGTTCCCTCACCAGAGATCGAACCTGGACCCCCTGCATTGGGAGTATGGAGGCTTAGCCACTGGACCACCAGGAAAGTTCCCACATCCCTGCATTTAAATAGAGGGTGGGAGAGACAGACAAGTAGCCTAGAGATTTTAACATAGTACATGAGGGATAAAAAATTTTCTAAACCCAAAGTTGTAAACTGATAGTGCACTTCCAGGCTATTTACTGGCCTGATATTCTCTCATCTTGGAATGTTACTCCCCTGGCTTGGCAAGCACACTGCTGTCTCAGCTCAGATATTCCCTTCTCAGAGACATCGTCCCTGAGCACCCCACCTAAAGCTTTGTTTGGACTGTACCAATCCTAGTGGAGACACCTTGTGTCAGGTGCTGCAATGTGCCACTTGTTGCATGTTAGAGCAGTAAGGAGCCTTGGTGATCATGGAGGCCATTCCAGTTAGAGACAAGAAAATTGAGGGACAGATTGGAAAAGCACCCTCCCCAGAGTTACCCATGAGTCCGAGCCAGGTCTGGATCTGCAGCCCAGTCAGGTGTCCTGACTCCCAGCCCAGTACCTTTTCCCTCTTTTCAGTCAGCTTCTTGGTCAATGAAGGAATAGTTTTGGCCTTAGTAGACACTGCCCAGGGGGTGTGGAGAGTCCTTCTGGAGGTGTAGAGGGTAAGCACTGCACTGCTTGTTGCTCTAACCCCTCATGCTTTGTGACATTACAGAGCACCTATTGTGCCACCATTGTCCAGCACTGTGAAGCCCTCAATCGGTCTGTCCAAGTTGTGAACCTAGATCCTGCAGCAGAACATTTCAACTACTCCGTGATGGCTGGTAAGTCCTGAGCAGAGCCTTCCCCCTCCTTCAGGAAAAATAGGGGAGTAGGGAGGCAGTGAGCACTGGCTGCTCAACACAGAAGCTGAAAATTAATACAGTCTGGTCCCCTGGTTTTGTGGTGAACGACATGAGGCTGAATGTCATTTGGTGACATCAGCTCATGTTGATGTATGTGACAGTATCCTTTCTTAGTCTCTGATGTAAGAATTAAAAGTGAGTAGACTCCTCCCTCACCACCCTTCCCTTTTGTTTCTTTCATGTTTGATCATGTTTGGTAAACCTGTTTTACTGCTGATCATACTATAAGTGAACAACCTAAATGTTTTGTTTTGTCTTTTAAGTCTTTTAATTTATTCATTCAGTTGTCTGTTGAACACCTACTTTATGCCAGGCACCAGGGTTATAGCAGAGGACAAGACAGATACTATTCCTACCTTTGTGGACCTTTTAGCAAGGGAGATAAGCAAAATGATAAACATGTTACAGATTGTGGTAAGGACTGCTTTAGGCTCATGAGAAGGAATAACTGGGAGAGGTTGCTTTAGGGATGATGTCTCTGAGAAGGAGCTATTTGGGCCTAGACCTGAAGATGGTAATGTGCTCACAAAGTTGGCGAAAGGCTTTCCAAGATGGAAGAATATCAAGGTCACTATATAAGGGAGAGATGGGAAAGGGCTTGGTGTGTTCCAGAAAAAGCAAAGATGCTGATAAGCTGGGGCATAAGGAGTGAAGGAAAGAGATGGGTAGGAGCTAGTAGGACATGAGAAGTATGGGTTTTTTCCTGTTTTTTACCCTGTTTAGTCTGTTTGGGCCGCTGTAACAAAATATCAGACTGGGTGGCTTATAAACAACAGAAATGGATTTCTCACAGTTCAGGAGGCCGGAAGTCCAATATTAGGGTGCTGCCAGCATGGTCAGATTCTGGCGAAGGCCCTCTTCCCAGTTGTAGACTGCTGACTTCTCACTGTGTCGTCACATGATGGAAGGGGGAGAGGGAGCTCTATGGGACCTCTTTTATAAAAGCACTAATCCCATTCACCTCCCCAAAGCCCCACCTACTAATATCATCATCCTGGGCATTAGATTTTCAACATATGAGTTTTAGAGGGACACAGATACTCAATTCATAAGGGACTTCGCTGGCAGTCCAGTAGTTAGGACTCCACACTTCCATTGCAGGGGGCATGGGTTCGATCCCGGGTCGGGGAACTAAGATCCCGCAAGCTGTGTGCGGCACAGCCACTCCCCCCCCCGCCCCCAAAAAAATCCTCAATTTACAGCACCTTTCAACAGTGGAATGTTATTAGAGGGTTTCCAGCAGGGGGAGAGGATTGACATCTGATTTACGGTTTTCTTTTGTGTTTTTTTTTGGTGAGGGTTTGTTTGTTTTTTTAATATTTATTTATTTATTTGGTTGTGGCGAGTCTTAGTTATGGCAGGTGGGCTCCTTAGTTACGGCAAGAGGGCTCCTTAGTTGCGGCTTGTGAGCCCCTTAGTTGTGGCTCGCTGGCTTCTTGGTGTGGCATATGGGTTCCTTAGTTGCGGCTTGAGGGCTCCTTAGTTGTGGCATGCGAACTCTCACTTGCAGCATGCATGTGGGATCTAGTTCCCGGACCAGGGATCAAATCTGGGCCCTCTGCATTGGGAGCGTGAAGTCTTAACCACTGTGCCACCAGGGAAGTCCCTGATTTATGTTTTTAATCTTTTTTTTTTTTTTTTTTTTTTTTTGCGGTACGCAGGTCCTTTGTTTTTTTTTTTTTTTTTTTTTTTTTTTTTTTTTTTTTTTTGCGGTACGCAGGTCTCTCACTGTTGTGGCCTCTCCCGCTGCGGAGCACAGGCTCCGGACGTGCAGGCCCAGCAGCCACAGCTCACGGGCCCAGCTACTCTGCGGCACGTGGGATCCCCCTGGACCAGGGCACGAACCCAGGTCCCCTGCATTGGCAGGCGGACTCCCAACCACTGCGCCACCAGGGAAGCCCCCTGATTTATGTTTTTAAAAATAACTGGCTCTCAGATGAAAAATGGACTCTAGAGGGTCAAGAGTCGAAGCAGGGACCAGCAGTGAGGCTATTACAGTTGTCTAGGTGGCTTGGACTAGGGTGATCATGGTGGAGATACAGAGGAGCAGACAGATATGGTATATATTTTGCAAGTAGAATTAGCAGCATTTTGTGGGAGA